CTCTCTATCAAACGGTATCGAAAAATATTTAGACGTATCTTTCTCCACTTGAAAAGTCGAATTTTCAGAAATCATTAACTTATACCTACGTTTTCTAATTAATTTATCAACTAGTGAAGGAGAATATCCATTACACTCAGCTACATTCCTAATGTAATCTCTTTCTATTTCATATCTTTCGTTGGAAAGTGGGAACTAAGTAATCTATGAACTAAGAAATTTAAACTTGCCATTTTATGTTCAACACTATGATGTGATTCATTAGGAATATATCTGCGTGTGGTATGTTTGTTTTTAGAGCTTTTTAATTTTTTAAACTTACTATTCAAAATGGACATTTTCTTAACAAATTTTTAATTGATAACCACAAACATATTTCTCTGAAATAGACACCAACATTCATACTCTACATTATTTGGCTTATAAGTAAGTTTTTTGTAAAGTCCATAGGCTTCAATTTCAAGCCTACTTCGTTTACTATACAGAAATTTGATTTCTAAATCAAGCCATTTTTGTTTTGCAATTTTGTCTACCTTATCACTAACGTTACTTTTCGGAATATCAACTTTAATAAAACTAGGATAAACTGAATTGGCTTTCCATGATTTAAGAAACCAAATATCTGCTCCTAATAACCTAATCTTAGTACTAAACTTACGATAAAGATCTTTTTTTTAAATTACTTATACGCGCATTCAAAATTTCAGCTATATCGGAAAAAAGTTTATAATATTATAATTATTATAAACTTTATTATAGTGTCTAATGTTGTATAGATAATGAATGGTACGGAATCCTTTGTGCGCGAGTCCGACTCGCACTTGACCAATTTTTTCAGATATTTTTACTAGAATTTACGTAGGGATAGGGGTAGTTTTCACCCTTCCCGTACTTTTTCTTGATTTTTGTGAATATCAAATGTTAAAACACTTAGCGAAATATAGACACCTACAATCTCATCCAAATCGGAATAACGGTTCTTTAAATATTTAAAGAAATGTGTTTCTTTTTTAAAGTTTGGTGCTCTCTAGTGGACAAATGAAGCACTTTTGTATAGAGGTAAATTGTGTCAAATGAACTTATTGTGATTCCAGAACGTACTAGTTCTATGTCCACGGAATATTGAAAAATAAAAAATATGAAGGTATGGCTGAATTTTAGAAATTCCTGAAAATCAGAGTCTCTGTGGTATTAATGATATCTTTTTCATTCTTTAAAAGGTGATTATTAGTAATTTTAGGATTAACGTCACGTTTTTTTACAGTTTTAAAATGTTAATAAGTAATATAAAATGTTAATGTCAAAGGAGGAAACAAAAATATTTACTTGAATGCTAGAGAAAAGGTGATAGTAGTTATCGTCTGGTTGTTGAAGAATTTGACAAACGTAATTTTCCTATATTAGTGTTATAACGTTGATTGAAGAAATAAGAAGATGCGCAACTTTATGGGTGATTTCGTGGCACAAAACGTGTCCGAGATGTAGCTGGCGTTACCGTCAGCCTGTCCGAAAATTCCGAGATTTAGTTTAGCTCTGCGCCGTTACGCGCTAATAGTCGTTTACAGCGCAGCGGATAAAGAATACTGTTCTGTAGTTTCTGTAAGTTCTGCTTTCAATCGCACTCTGTGGTTGTCGGAGACAGTGTTGCCAAAAATACTGATTAATCCGTAGATTTACGGATTTTGGGTACAGTACGTTAATAATCATATGGATTTTCTATCATTAAACAATTTAATATAATATTATATGATTACACAAAGAACGGCGTCAGAGTTGGCTTGGAAATGAAGATCGCTGTTATTTCATATGTAAAATATTATTGATATTTACCATAATATTATAATTTTTTAATCGTCATTTCCAAGCCAACTAAACGACTTTTTTCAATCATCAATAAATTTATATATTATACATTAATAAATTTTCAATACCTAAACGCGGATTTTTCATCCAAAGATATTTTCGTGAAACCTATTACAAATATTACACATTGTAATATGGCAACACTGTCGCTTTCAGATCCACTGGTGTCTCCACCGTACAGCAGTTGCGACACAGATTATATCAGATGTGGCTCTTATTTCATCTTTTTATGTCTTAATAGTAGTTGAGTATAACAAGTTTTACTATAAAAAGCTGAGTATATATACTTATTAGAATTTTGTTTCTTAAAAATCTACTCTCCATAAAGTCGACCAGACCGCAATATGATTTATATTTTTATTTTTTAATGTAAATCGGAAGTTTTATGAGAAAAATACAGGAGATAAAAAATGTAAATTAATTAGCCTGTAGTAATAATTTCTGATACAGGAGTAAAATAAATGGAAGTTATGTCATCATACAACTTAGCAAACTACAAATTAAAACACATTTTCAACTTTTTTCATGTTTCTTTACATTTTTTGCCTTATATAGTAAACAGGCAGAAAATTTGTAGAAAATCGAGATCTGCCAAGCATAAAAAAGTAGTTAAGTAGGTACTTACGGTGTTTCGTCCTTTGACACTCCAAAAAATTTTACTCCACTGCCCCGACATTTGGGGAAAGTATTCTTACAGTTTTTGTAAAAAAAAGTCCACCAGTCTTTTCGTAACTATCTATATTAATTAATTACGTTATTTACATACACTAATCCACTAATATATACGATAAAAAATAAACGCAAAAAGTTGCTGTCCAGAAAGATAACAAAAACACACAAAACTTATATTTTCACACGTGAATAAAGTTTTTTTTTGTCATAAAGCCGAAACATGCCTTTTTTCTAAAAAGTGTCGAGTTTTACTGACTGTTAAAAGAATATTAATATTAAAATATATAGAAAACATGTTTACATTATAACTACCAGTTTAGCTTGGTCGCCTTCTACGGGCCCTAACAACTATATGTTGGGACAAGGTCATATTATGGAATTATTGCCCTGTTTTTTCAAAATGACTGAAAAATATATGTTTATTTTTTTAAATATAAACATAGCCATATATCCTAAACAACTTGACAATATTTTTATGAATTTGTAAATCAATCCATATTTACAGTAGCGGATTTTGTTCATAAAAGGACAAATTTGCTGACAACTAAATGTTGGGACAAGTATTTTTAAATAATTAATATCATAGGCGGCTTTGCTATAAACGTCACAAATGTCGCAAACAGTTTACTTCAGCATTGACAGCTTGTAAGTGAGTCGATACTTTGAGTAGTGAGATTTACTGTAAGAAATTTTAATTTTTTTAATTTTCAATTTTGTTAATTTAATCCAAAGTAATGGTCCGTGGAAAAGCTATACAAATCAAAAACTACGCGAAATTATCAATCGTCAATACAGTACGGGAAAAACAATTCGAAAATTTCTGATGATTTAAGTATTCCAAAACCACGGTCTTTTATATAATAAAAAATACGGCGAATCTGTCAACGTAGACGTTAGAGGTAATAGTTCGGGAAGGCCAAAAGTTGTATCTCAGAGAGATTTACGAAATTTAGTAAAAATTTGCAAGTCTGCGAGAAGAAGTACTCTTCGCGAAGTAACCGTTAAATGGAATACTGTAACTGGTTTAAATATATCAAGAGAATGTTGCCGAAAGTATATCCACAAATGCAGTCTGGGGTTTTACAAGGTAAACTTTATTTTGTGTGGATAATCAATTACCTGAAGATTATTGATACAAATTCTTATTTAGGCCAAAGAAAACCGCTACTGACAGAAATTCAAAAGAAAAATCGCTACAATTGGGCAAAATCTAAATTATCGTGGACACAAAATGATTGGAATAAGGTCATATTTAGCGATGAGTCTAAATTTGATGTTTGCGTTGGAGATCATCGAAAACGAATAATACGAAATAAAGCAGAAGCCTTTCATAAAGATTGCTTAAAGAGGGTTGTTAAATTTCCTAAGGGGATTATGGTTTGGGGTTGCATGTCAGCAAGAGGTTTGGGCAAATTAAATTTTATAGATGGCACTGTTAACGCTCAAAAATATCAACATATTGTCGAGACCTCACTTTTACTTAGTGCTCAAGAATTATTTCCAAACGAAGACTATATTTTCCAAGAAGATGGAGCATCGTGCCATTCAGCAAGATCAACTAAAAATTGGTTCGGTAATAATAATATAAAAGTTCTATCCCATCCTTCAAGTAGTCCGGACCTAAATGTTATAGAAACTGTGTGGCATAAAATGAAACAATATTTAAGAAACCACCCTCAACGAACAATTTTTGATTTGCGGACAAAACTGCAGGAAATTTGGGATAATTTTTCTCCTCAAATGTGCCAATCTTTGGTAAATACAATGCCATTAAGAGTTCAGGCAGTTGTTAAGGCGAAAGGTGGTGTAACTCCGTATTAAACAAATTTCTTGTTGTGCTGTACCAATATATAGTTGTCAGCAAATTTGGCTTGATTTTGTCAAAATAAGCTATTATCAAAAGTAATTTGTTTGCAAAGTTATAAAAATATAGTAAAATTGTCTAGATCATATTGTAATGTTTGAATTTAGAATAATAAACAAAATAAATTGAGTCGTTTTAACAAATTACTATTTTTATTGCAAAAAAAGACCTTGTCCCAACATATAGTTGTTAGGGCTCGTATTAAAAAACAAAAATTCAGTATTTACATAGGCCAGCTATAGATCGATTTGAACTCCGGAAAAAAGGATATTTGTCTTATATTTTTATTTATCCGTTATTTTTATTTATCCGTCTTAATATTTTTATTTATCCGGTCACACGATCGCACAGCTGTTGTGTTGGACCCATTGATCATTCGCACGCGTTTTGAATTCCGTCCTTTTAAATCGGTGATTTAAAGGGACCGAATAAATCCTTGTTTAATTTAGTTTCTCCGTCTTACTGGAAAATCTGAAACAATATAATCTGTAGTTGCGACGAAGGGGAAATCAAATCAGCCACACAATTGTCACGAATTCGCCCATTAGGCTGCGTATCTTCCCAATTCTTTCAATCAACGGTTATATTCTTCCTATTCCAGGCGAAAAAGAACTAATGAAACTCTGGAACCTCCACGTAATGAAGCACGGTTTCGTCGGCGACTGCCAAATACCTCTAGCGTGCCAAATGTTCGTCCAGCAAAAAGGCGAAGAACTCCTCTTGAAGAACCTCTACAGAAACTTCGTCCTACACCTCACCTCCCTCTTTGATTTCGGCCTCATCAGTGCCGTGTGCCTGTACACCACCCTCCAAAAACTGCAACAACTGGTCGGCGAGACTCACGCCATCAGAAACGTACTGAAGAACGCTCGCGAGGCCCAATTAGAAACGTTCAACTTGAACAAGACCAATCAGAATTCTTCTCCGCACGCGGATAAAGCTCTGGGCAATGGCGGATCGTCCAAGACGACGCAGCAGGGTCGTAAGACGGCGAGTATAGGGTTGCAAAGACGCAAGGCGCTGGCTACCGATGCCCTGCCACCGCGCAGGAAAAGTCTATGTGTGGAAGCCCTGGCGGCTACCAAGAAACGACTTAATCTTAACCTAAGTAAGACATTGGATGGTGGGAAGCCCAGCTAGTGGATGCGCGAGTGTAACTGTGGGATTGTTTAGTTAAAAAAGTTGACTCATGAAGCGTCGAGGTGAGTAACTGAAGTAGGTTGACTCTAAATAGAGACTTTCGAATTTGAGTCATTACGGATAATTTATTTATTACCTTAGGAAACTAAGGGCAATGGACTATAACAATAACAGGATCAACTTTTTAATATCAGTGAGTTTTAGGTTTATGTTAGTACATTGTTATTGTAAGTCGGAGTTTATACATGGTGACTAAGTGTTCCTAAAAAGCTAATAAAATCACTAGTAACATATCCATTCCTTCCACTAGCAGATACTGCTTCATTTTTCTTGATAAAATAATACATAAAAAATGTCTATACCTATGTGGCGGATTCATCTGTCCAAAAAAATCCTTTATGGGTATTTCGCCACTGCACTGTAAGAAAATCTACAAAATACAATAGTTATTTTTTGTAATTCTGCGTTAAACCTAAACGGACGCTGCTTGTCCGAAGTTATGTTTACAGTAATACAAATTTGCCTAACAAAGAAAAAACTTGCTAACTACTTTTCGTCGTCGGAAGCAAAAAAATTCAAAGAATAAAGAAAAAAACTATTTAAAATATTTAAATTCAACTATTCGAGAACACTTTACTTTTTTAAAACAGATACGTCTACAAGAAACCGTTGACGTTCTGTTAAAATGACATTATATCAAGTTAAACTTCAAAATTAACAATTACTACCTGATAACAAAAAAACATAAAAAAATAATTAAAATTAATAATAATTATTTATATTGAAGAACATAAAGATTATTTAAGAAAGGGAGATTTTCACAAATCTAAGATTTGTGAGCATTCATGGGACACAGGGCATAGAATACATTTTAATAACGCCAAAATTATAATGAAAGAAGCGATAGCCTCTAAAAGAAAAATAAAAGAGGTTTTTTTAATTCAATCTAATAAAAATAAATCTATTGCTCATGCATCTGTAGATGTTAGTGATGTATGGCAATCGCTTCTTTGGTTTTAAAGAACATAACATAAATAAACATAACATACTTAAAATTTAAAAATAATCATACAGAAAGTTTGGGGCTTTTTGGTTTTACCTTATTAAGTAATTGTTATCAGGTAGTAATTGTTAATTTTGAAGTTTAACTTGATATAATGTCATTTTAACAGAACGTCAACGGTTTCTTGTAGACGTATCTGTTTTAAAAAAGTAGTGTTCTCGAATAGTTGAATTTAAATATTTTAAATAGTTTTTTTCTTTATTCTTTGTACTTTTTTTGCTTCCGATGACGGAAAGAGATAACTTTCCAAAACGTTAAGCATTTTTTCCTTGTTAGGCAAATTTGTATTACTGTAAACATAACTTCTGACAAGCAGCGTCCGTTTAGGTTTAACGCCCAGAAGTGTTTACAAAAAATAACTATTTTATTTTGTAGATTTTCTTGCAGTACAGTGGCGAAATACCCATAAAGGATTTTTTTGGAGAAAATAATACATTCTTATTAACCTTATTATAGGTAAATTAAACAAAAATAACCTGTGATAAATTTAAATAAAGTCCATAAACTAAAGCTGATTTTGAAAATAGCTACCAAGTATCGCTAGAAAATTGCCATGGCAACACCAGCCATCTTGATTACAATTTTATTGAAAAATCGCTTTTTATTCAAAATCTGAGCCATATAGCTATAGGAAACCCTCATAAAGTTTTGAAAGAGCATTTAAATCTGCTTCGACTTATTTAAAAATATACATAGTGTTGCATTTGAAATAACGAAGTTTTAATGTGAAATAAATATTTAAATAGATCAGCAATTTTTGATACCCCTGTATACATTGAAGGAAGCAATCAATTTTTTTAGTAAAGTTTATTTCTCTGGCTTGTAAGTCAGCACAAGAATTAATTCTGAAAAATAATGTATAAGGTGTTGACAAACTTATTTATTACAGCTTGCATATTTAAATATCTGAAAAACCAAAGCCTTTAGACATACTAAATCCTTATAATAAATGCCTTATTTTATGCCCAACAATCCAAAAATGAAATAAAATGCCTGGTGTTTCATAAGAAAAAATATAAAACTTTGGTATGGATTTTAGTTCTGACATACCCTGTACATTTGAAAATAGTTTTGAATTATGCACATTGCCTTCCCACATATACCCATAAAATATTTTGTTTCTACATCTTTCCGTTTTCGTATAATCAACCGAGGCGAATGAGGTGCGCCACCCTGTATAAACAAGGGTATTTTTCTAAACATGGTTATACAGGTTGTTAATTTGTTTATTACTCGCGGCAAGAGCTTTATGATTGAAATACGGCAACCTCGGCCCGCTCGTCGAGAGACGACGCGACGGGACGAGTCGGCAGCTTAGCTTAGGCCATGATACAAAGAAAACAGGGTATGATATTACGCAGGTTGGTCACTACGTCATAGGTGATAAAGGGCACTATTGGTCGCCAAGCTCCGCGCGCCAATTTCAAATTGTCAAACAGATGACACGGATGACACATGATAAATGTGTCATAACCTCTGGTCATAACTTTTCAAATGTCAAGCTCGATGATTTGACATAACTTTTGGGGTTATGTCCTAATTCTTCCCTATTTTAGGTCTTTTTTTATTGGCAATTGAACAATATGGATATTTTTTGTATGGCATATGACGTCACAGGTGATATGCGCAAACTGAACAAAATTGGAGCCGCTATCGATCATACCTTGTTTTCTTTGAACCATGGCTTAGGCAGTGTTGCCATTCTGTTTCCCAATAAGTAACCGTCCAGTTAACAATCTGTATATCAAAAACCACAAAAATAGTATACAGCCTTTCATTTAAAATACTACGACTATTGCGATCTATGAAAATATTTTGTGTGTATAAAATGGGCGCTACCGACATTGTCTGCATATTTTTTATAAAAATAATTGGAATAAGAATCTTTAACAGGAAACCTGAGAGATATTGCTTTTTTTCGGAGCACTGAGCCACCCTGTATATATGTATATAATCGCAGTATAAAGATATCAAATCAATACTGTGATATAACTTAGCGCGACTGAGGATTTTAAAAATTGAGTGTGTGATACTCAATAAACTAAAATAAAAAAATATACAGCGTGGTCTGAATTATATTCCGGAAACTTCGGCAGCATATTCTGCAGATAAAAATAGGTAAAAAAGTTCGTATAATTGTATGTCCTAATATGCTTAGTTTCGGAGATACAGGGTGAAGAAATTTCATTTTTATTTCGATTTTTTCCAAATCATTTCTGAAGTAACGTCAATATTTAGATGAAAATTGGTGTCTGGGAGTTTTTTGGCATGAGAAATTTGATTTTGATGTCAATATGACTCCTACTGGTAGAGGGCGCCATCTACATGTGTTTTAACTGTTCTGAAGCGTAATAACTTTTTATCCGTACCTGTATAAAACTAACGAGGGAAAAAATATACATCTCTGTGATTTTTTACGTAAAAAATATCTCTTTGTAAAAATCGCTACGAGCAACCGTTCTCAAGACGAAAAATAAACACGTTGAGTTAGATAGTTATTCACTGAAATAATAAATTTGGGAAATTTTTATTTTTTTAAATTAATCATATTTTTTCTGCAAAAAAATAATGATAAAACAGTTTTTGTTGAACTTTTGGTACAAAAACATTTCAAATTTATGATCTCTGTCTAATAACTACCGTTTGATCGAAAAAAAACGGCGTCCAGTTGGCTTGGAAATGACGATCGATGACATTTCCCATATAATTTTACATATAAAATGACAGCGATCTTCATTTCATAGCCATCGTTGACGCCGTTTTTATTCGATCATACGGTATTTAGTCAACATATTTAATTTATGTCAGTGATGACAGGTATTGATAATTTCGATTTCAAATATCTCGAAAACCATTACTCGTAGCGATTTTTACCAAGAGGCCTTTTTTACGTAAAAGGCGTCGTAAATGTATATTTTTTTTACTCAGTAGTTTTATACAGGTATACGGACGAAAAGTTATTACTCTTCAAACCAGTTAAAAAATATGTAGATGGCGCCCTCTACTAGTAGGAGTCATATTGACATCAAAATCAAATTTCTCATGCCAAAAAACTCCCTGACACCAATTTTAATCCAAATATTGACGTTGCTGCAGAAATTATTTGGAAAAAATCGAAATAAAAATGAAATTTCTACACCCTGTATCTCCGAAACTAAGCATTTTTGGACATACATACGAACATTTTTACTTACTTTATCTGCAGAATATGCTGCCGAAGTTTCCGGAATACAATTCGGACCACCCTGTATATAATAATTGATATTGTGCAAAAATATTCTAGACATTAGAATTTACATTGTGAAACATGGAGACGTATTCTTTTATGTACATACTATATATTTTCGTACGAGGAAAGCTCTATAAGAAATTCGACCATAGACAAATTAAAAATTTAGGGAATTTGTTCTTTTATACAGGGTATATCATAAAGTTCACTACAAATGGGAAATATTTTTATTATTGAGTTATTGAAAAAAAGTTATTCAGAATTTTATTTTACGTCTATGCGCCAATTTCATAACTATACAGGGACTTTAAATAGTTTCTTCAACTATTTGTCTAAAAAGGGATATTTCTTTGTGAATGACTAAACAAAGCCAAGAATCAAATAAAATGATTTATAACGCAGTAAAATTATTTTACTGTCTCGCAATTACATAAATAGAGAAGCTCAACAAATTAGGCAAAGAAAATAAAGTCCTCCTACTCTGGGTGCCTGCTCACCAAGGGATAGAAGACAATGAAAAAGTAAATGATCTAGCTAGGAAAGGAGCGAACACTCCACTAACTGAACCAGAACCGTTCTGTTTTCCAAACGGAAACCAACTGAAAGCGGAACGGAAGAATCTGGAAGACTCCATCCGTAACTTGGAATGGGTGTCCTCCAACGGTCTAAGACACTCGAAAGAGTTCCCCAGAACTTACGACCGAGAAAAATCAAAGGTTTTCCTTGATTTAAGTAAAAACAATCTTCGCGTTGTCACGGGGTTTCTAACAGGACACTGTCTCCTCAACGAACACCTCAGTAGGCTGAAGCTGAGAAACAACGGTGAATGCAGATTCTGTGAGGAAACACCAGAACACCTTATCACTGAGTGCGCCGAGACGACGACCATTCGTGCCATGAACTTTGGTACGGCTGATGTCAAGGATGGAGAGCTGGCCTCTGGGGCCGTCTCAGATACTGGCTTTTGTTAAAGCCTTGAGACTGTATGATGAGTTATAACTCGTTATAACTCAAGAAAGGGGAACACACAATAGATCTGTAAGGTCGCGGCGATTAACTCCCCTCCTAAACATTCTAATTCTAATTACATAAATAAAAAAAACTCCAAATGCTAATTTTCAGAGATTAGCTTTGTTCAAGACTTCATTTATAGATATCACAAATATTGACACTAACAAACTAACTTTAGAGACTTTTATTATCTGCTACTCAATTTTATACCAAAAAACAATGTTTGGTTGAAGTTATTCTTTTCAATAAGACATTGCAGCAATTTTGTTATGTTATTTTAAAAATTATTTTCTTTTTTTTTAACGGTTATTTACAGGACAATATAAAATACATATTGTATTATTAATTATTCTTCTTGGTTTTGGTCATCTTTTTTATGTCATTTTAGCAAAAAAAGACGATGTTTTGGAAACCTTTTCAAAAGTATCAACAAATTTATATTTTCTCTGTTTCTGTATATTGAATGTACGCTGGCGCTGAAGAAATTCAGTATAAATTTATAAAAACTCGATAATGATAAAAAAATCCCATTTGTTGCGAACCCTGTATACTCGTTTGGAATACCCTGTATATTTTCAAACGTGTTGTGCAAAGAAACCATTAAAAGACATTAATTAATTTTATGAAGATGTACAAAACATAACCATCCTAAAAAACAAATTTATACTGGTTCATCCCCAATTAGGGCTAATTTGATTTTAAAAAATTGAGGATAAAATATTGTTTAAAATTTGGGGAAAGAATTGCACAAAAGTTTGTAAACCATCACACATTTTTTCTAATATTTCATATGTATTTTTAATGAACTAGAAAGGATTTTTCCTATATTCTGTTTTTTGTTATGTTTTTATATATAAAGTGTATTTGTTTCAGCTTTTATATTAAATGTATAAAGTGTGACTGTTTTGTACTGGGTTTTAACAAATTTATTTTATACCAATTGCCTTAAAAATTAGTTAAAGCCCAATGCATCACCTCAATAGCAACTTAATTAAGTTTATACTGTGTTCTACAATCTATTTTATTTTATATTTTTGTTCATTTATATGTATATACATTTAAACAAAACATGGGTTCAATGAAATAAAGTGACACCAAAGAAGTTTTAACGTTTTTTATTTCTTAATCATAATAAAATTATTCAGTTTTTTTGACCTTTTGCTTTTTAGCTGGTTGGGGTCTTTGTGAGCGTAAAACTGCACTGGCTCTTCTTAGGGCAGCCTAAAATTAATGAATATCGGTAAAGAAATCATTTATACGACTGTTAATTTTATTACCTTTGTTAAGTCTGTACGGTATTTGTTACCTTCTAACAAAGTCTTCAGTTTGAACAAGGATCTTCTTGGTCCTGATTTGAAGGTCCTCTTTACCAAGTTTTGTCTTGGTTTACGCTAAAAGACAAATAGAACACCAATGAAGCACAATAAATTATAATTAAAGTATAATAGTACTAACTTGTTTCTTGGATTTCTTGTAAACAACAGTAAAGCCCTTCTTGTCTGGAGCGTCCACGATAGAAAGAGACTTCTTATGGACAAGTCCATTATATCTGTACGAGCTAAGATTGGTTAAGTTGTTGGATTCCTGAAATTAAACTGATGAGAACGTCTGTTAAATATAAATTTGAACAGCTTACAGTGCTGAACGGTTTGGAAATATTGCGCTTCTTAAGCAGGAAGGCATTATTATTGCGAATAATACTCCAAACTAGATGTGAAGACATTTTTGAATCTGTAAAAAGTAAAAAATGTGAGTATATTGAGGTTATAGTTGAAAACGTGTAAGCAATTTAATAATTTAATTATTAACAAACAATTTCAGCCAAAATGGGCTGAGTTCGTAAAAATATGTATATCTGTATCAAATACTTCGTTAAAAACATCTTTTATTATAATTTATTAATCAAAAAAGTTTAAAAACAACTTACCTTTCTCAAAAATTCAATAAAAAAGATGGCGGAATTGACACAATTGACAGAAGTTTATATGACCATAGAGTGGGATGTGGATATATTAAATTATCATATATCTTTGATCATATATAAATATTTTCTATGATATTTGTTTACTATTGCTGTAATGCTGTACAACACTCTGCACAACATGGGTAAAGGTGTGGATCCGGTGGCTGACCTTGAAGGCCATATTTGCAGCATTTGATCATCGATACTACGCAAGCGCACATCGTCGATGTTGCCAAATTGCAGTTTATTTTCGAATTATTTGCAGTTGAATTTTTTTTTTGAATGTTAATCAATAATAATACAAATTCTATAATTAATTTTATAATTTCAGATTTATCTTGATATCCAAAATTAAGGTAAGAAGGATAATGAAGATTGTGAAATGAAAGTATTATGAATATATAAAATTGTACGTAATAATAACAGAGATATGGAAGTGGTTGAATAATAATAACATTTATTTATATATTTACATTAGAATTAAAAATTATCATTTACGGATTTTTTCTAATGGTTTTAAACTTATTAGAATTATTTTATTTCTTTCAAGTTATTTAATTTCTAGTTATTTACAGGCAACAATAGTTTTCATTATATTATGTATATTGATGTTTTGAAATATTACCATGACGAGTCTTATAGAACAATACACGTCAATGGGAGATAGAGGTAACATATTTTACCTATAATGTTACTAATATAATATACTTTGATTGTAATGTTTGTATCATATAATTTCTTAAAAATATCAAGTTAGTGGATTAATAGCAATTTTAGACATATATTTTATCGAAGAGTGTTGATAAGACTAAAATAAGCTTTATGTTTTATCTTTTTCTCTTTAGAAGGGAGATGGTTTGTATCGTAGAATACATTACAGTATTTAATATCGTGTACTTTGATATTCTTTTCTTAATTTACTGCAATTTCTTGTTTCCTATAATGCCAAATCTTGACAATATGGTGAAGGTTGAGTTTTGATCTTATTAGTTTTATACCTGTGTTTATACAAGACCAAATTAAGACTTAGTTTGTGATTTATATTAAGATCTTTCTTATAATATTTATTATGTCTTAATCTTATGCTTTGTCTGGAAAATAAATGTTAAAATATCTTAATTTTGCATATCCTATTCCATCCTTCCATTAGGAAAAATATGGTTTATAAATCATATTATAGCTAAGAAAATCACATAAATTAGGTGTAAGAATAGAGAAATCTTAAAGTAGCAGAAAACCTATTATGAACATGACATGGAGCTACAGCATTTAAAAATTAAAAAAAAGGAAAAACTTGGACATATAATTTCCCGAATTTTTAATAAAGCCCTTTTTAAACGTAGCATAATAATCTAGAGCAATTAGATTAATTATAGGAATCTAGAGTTTTATTTCTATTTAATTTTATTGACTATGAAAATACATAATAAGCGTTCACGTGTTGTGCGAAATATTAAAATAATATATAAATCCTTGATATAAATAATATACCGCGTACTATGATTGAAAAAAAAATAGCGTCAGCGATGACTATGAAATGAAGATCGCTGTCATTTTATATGGGAAATGTCCTCAATCGTCATTTCCCAGCCAACTGGACGCCGTTTTTTCGATCATACGGTATATATTGACAAAAAACACTGAAAAACACATATTTGTTTTCTACTGAAAATAATTCCAAAATAACTTACAATCTGGCAACATCGAAGATGTGCGCATGCGTAGTGTCTGTGGCTATATGCAGCAGAAACTCGTTTCAAGGTCAGCCACCGGATCCACACCATTACCCAACATGTTTATTTTTGTTGTTGTCTTTCCTTGGTTGTCTTTGCCCAACCCAAGGATACTATAGAGATAAGGATAGTTCGATTCCTATCTTCCTGCACTGTCAGCTTTTTTACGTCATCTGGGGACCGAGTTGAAGTTGGCGCTAAAGACAGTGACAGTTATTTTTGCATTTGAGGGACGAGCGCACAGTGCGTTGGAAGATAAATTTAGCGGGACAAAAGCGTTTGGTTAGAAATAAGCCAAAAAATGTGTACTGTCAGAATAAATAGTAGACATTCCAGTTGATATAAAAATGCATAAATATTCTTTGTATTTCGATACATTTTTATCAAACAAATTTGGTCGTTTTCTGCTCAGCACGGCAGAGATCATACGAAAACAAAATATTTACAAAGTGCTTATACATTTTATTCCAAAGCCAAATTATGTTGAAGATTGCCAATGGTATGTACTTTTCTACTGTACGTATATTATTTGTTAAAATCCTTCGTGCCTTTGTTCTGCAGATATCAAACTTTCACTTTTTTCAAATATCGATATATTGGGTCTTATGTATAAAAGTTAAGCAAATGCTTTTACTTAAATTTCTTGAAATAGACTTATACAATTTGTAAACAACCAACAAAGATAGTTCTATAGAAAAAGCAATTGCTTCTCTTTATTCATCAGGCCCATTGAATGATGTAGATCTTTTGAGTTACCAATAGTTACCAACACAGGTAGTCACAGTCACAGGGAGTTCAAGCTTAACAGGTGAATGCCCAAAAAGTTTCATTTCAATCGGATAGTATAAAAACAAAACAACTCCATCAAAAGGCACTGAGTTTAAAAAATTGTCTTAGGTACTTACTATATATGAATTTACAATTACCGAGTGTTAAAATTAAAATATCTATCTTAATTATTATTTTTAAAATAAAATATAATTTTTTAAAATAAAATATTGAGGGTATTACCAGATTACAAAGTAATTAAAAAATAACTGCTAAAGAGTTTTTTGTAAGTATTTCACCTGATATCATAATTTTATGTATTTGGCAATAGTTTACAATACGGTTTTTGTGTGTCATGTACGAATAATATCATAGTTTTATTATCTTGTATTTATTTATTAATAAATTAAGTTGTTAATAAATAAATAAATTTAACCATATAGTTGCTATATATTAGACCATTTGCTACGTTCTTAGATTTTAAATCCCAAACATTGCTCTTGAGATTTTGTCCCGCTAGAATAACCATCCGCCGCACTGTGGAGCGTTGGTCCCTGCGTGACGTAGCATTCCACGGCGACTACGACAGCGGCGATTTGACGCGATCGAACAGTCCTTTTGGAATCAAATACGTTTAAATTAATAACGGTAATTTAAACGTATTTGTTTAGAATTAGTCTTCTTATTCAAAGGAATATATACAGTCCTTGGTCTTTGAAATAAATCAAGAGGATAGAGTCCAAATTACAATCTATGGTTATTAGACAAAAATAAACAAGTACAGCACAAGTCTGGCACGAGTACAGCAAAAGTAAATAATAATTATTATATAAGTATATTTTTTCTTTATGCTCCTAAAATATAGTCATATTTTTAGTGTCTAGACTGTCTAGGGCCTGAACTATGGCCTGAATGTATTGGACTCGTATTTGACTGCTGAACCAAAATATCGATGTTTTTAAAATATCGATAATGTCGCCCAAAACTATCTTAAAGAAATGACGTAAATGAACGAACAAAGCTCAGACGAACGTGTAGAAGCTTTTGATTTTGACGTTAACGTCGTTAATTTCAATACTTGAAGTACTCTTTGTTTTTAATTGAACATTGAATAATGGATAATTTAAAAAACGTTTTACAGTCAGTAAGAGAAGATGATTTTATTGAGTATTTTCTGTTTCCACGTATCGATTCAAATCTGGAAGAAGAACAGGAACATATCTTAAATGTTCTTTTAGAAAAAGCGACTAGTGTTATTGAAAAATACACCCAAAACTATTTATGGCATAAAGACGAGTTTAAGTTAGTTATTAGAACTAGTAATAGTAATTTTCTGACTCATATCGATGGAAAGGAAGGTAGTAAAATATTTTACAGTACCACTTGTAAGATGTAAGTACATACCATTTCTTTTTTCTAGATTATTTACCACCACATTTATATGGAGTTTCCCATTATGGAGATAATATTGAAGATGAATGGTTCATAGTATTTCTACTTAATGAAATAACTAAGCAGCTTCCAGATATCATAGCTAAAGTTTATGATATTGATGGAGAATTTCTTTTAATAGAAGCAGCAGACTTCTTACCATCCTGGGCCAATCCGGACTGTTGTACTAATAGGGTAAGTTTAATTTTAGTTTCTGATAAATAAGTGTAATGTTAATGACCTTCCTAGACAGTGTTATTGATTTAGTTTTTCTAAAGGTTAAGTATCCTTTTGCATGTTCAGAGAGTTTGATATATTGGCTTAATGGATTAAAAGAGAGTTTAACAACCTTCTTAATTTTGTTTTTTGATTATATACTGTTAAGATTATTAAGAGATCCAAAAAATCTATATGTTATTTACATTAATTTTTTTATTTTATTTTAAGGTTTATATTAAAGATGGAAACATACATTTACTTCAACCTTCAGACATTGATCATCCTGATATATCAGTTGATGAAGCTTTACAAGAGATTTGGTCCCATTCCTCTGGTACAGTTGCTGACTCAGATATTCAGAATTCAATAAAAAATAAACTTAGCATCTTCCCAGGAAATCTAAAAGATAGTTTTCATCATACTAAAATCTATGTACCTACAGCAGTTGCTGCCATCCTTAAACAAAACCCGATGCTAATTAGTGCTGCTGTACAGGCCTTTTGTAATAGAGATTCCATAGATATGAAAGCTTGCCGTGCCATGAAATATTTCCCTCCAGAGCAAAGAGTCGCAACAAGAGTGAAATTCACTAAATGCCAGTACGCAATGCTGTCTCACAGTAAATATATTCCAGATAGGAAAATAGGATGGAACCTGCCTCCAGCCAACAACCAGGATTACAAACAGCAAATTTTAGGAGTAAAAGTAGCCTGTGGTTTTGAAATTCTCATTTCGCAGGCCAAGCCCAGCAAAGATGTTGAAGGAGAGCGAGCTTGGGAACAGTATTTTAAGACTTTAAAAGAAAAAGGATATTTTAATGGACTTTTAGAGGGTTCCAAAGACTACAATAACCTTCTAAATAAGGCCAAAGAGTATTACATTGAGCACAGGGATTCTATGCATTATAACCCACCAATCGGTCAAGAAATCTTAATGCTTTTGAGGAACACAGATGTAAATTTTGAAAAACTGCAAGAGGAATCACAAAATTTGGCCCAGGATGATGACGATTCTTGGTTAAGTATTAGTCCGGAGGAACTTGACAAAATGTTGCAGGAAAAATATGGACAGAAGAAAATATTTAAGGTGGATGAATCAACAGAACCGGATAGTTTTGCTCAGAAAATTAACAGTTTCTTAAACCACGTTTCGACAGTTGATGGGGCCGAATTTCCTGATAATAGTGACAAGGAAAGTCCTGTTAGACCTCCCAGAAGCAAAAAGGGTAGTAAAAAAGGAGTTTCGTTTGCTTCAGAGAATGGATCTCCTGCAGTGAATGTTGACAATCAGAACGAAGTAATTTTCGATCCAAATTCTTTTGCCAGTGCCATAGAGAACATTCTCAATTTAGTTATACCAGAAGATAATTCATGGGACTTGGACTCCGACTCTGAAATGAGTGAATACGAAAACGACGATTTCGTGAAAAATGCTAATATGAACTCTGACGATGCCAACAAGGAAAAATCGAAAATGATATCTTACATGGAACAAATGGACTTAGAACTAGCCGGTACGACGATCGGTCAGAGTTTTGAAAAAAGACACGCATCAAAGGATTCCGGTTTCGAAGATGTAGAGAAACCTGTCGATGTAGATGCGAATGCATTGAAAAATCTTTTGGAGAGTTACAGATCTCAACTGGGTGAGGCTGGACCTTCCAGTAATATATTGGGTTCCATGGGCGTACACATGGATCCCAAAAAATAATTTTTCATCAGAAAAATAAATATTTTGATCTCTTTATATGGAGTGACTTCAAGGGTATTATAATGCTAATGTGTTAAGTTATTTAGAATTTTATACATAGAGTAAGTTGAAATGTATTGTAAAGGTATCAACCTTAATAATTGTCCAGGGTAGGAATAAATATACAGGATGTGCCAAAAAGCTTGTAACAAACGGGAAAATTTTTATTGAGTTTTTTAAAAAAGTTTATGTTAAGTTTCTTGAGTTTTCCGCAGCTTACAGATTGTCCCAAATAAATAGAGAATATCAAAGTTGTATTTTTTAAATAACTGTATATTATTACATTTTTAGTTTCTACGATTAAAATAAAGGTAAATTTAACTAAGATTTACAGCACTTTAACCGTTTTTGAAATATTTACGTTTTTCTGAAAATACTGTAACAATTTTAATGCTTCATTTCTCTATGCTTATTTAAGTTTTTAAAACCAAATATTGTATTGCAGTTTTTTATTTCTTAAATTTTGTGTTGCAATAATAAAAATTATACTGCCTTATTACGGCATTATATTGAGCATCAAATTGCGCAACTTTACCTCCATTTAACCGATCCTGTATCTCTTACGGTTTCCGAAATCCCAGTGATGAGCGTCGAATTCGAGCCACCCTGTACAAATATTCCGTTTAAAAAAATAAACTGTTATTTTTTATTTATTTGGGACACTCTGTACAGCTGGTTCCAATAAAATTGAATACGATTTAAAACATATTTTTATTATTTCGGGCAGTATATTCTATGATACCAGTCCCCCATTTCTCTACTCATGTCATGCTGACGTTCTGAAAAATTTATCTGCCACTTTGTCAAAAGCAAAGTTGTTTTATACAATGTCACAATAACCTTAAAATGTCAAAATCCTTGATACATAAATATACACTGCCCAAATGTTCGAAAAAAATGTGTAAAGAGTCGTATTCATTTTTTTTGGAACCAGCTGTACCTTTTGAAAATAATTTTAAATTGTAGCTTCAATAGTTCTCCTACGATACCCAAACCATCACTCACAAGTTCTAAAAGTCTAATCATTTGGCTACAATACTCCTTGTCGAAGAAGTGAATAATCCTGTATATGCCAAAATGATTATTTTTCTTACTATACATGCTGAAGAATAGTCATATCAACTTTTTCAAGAACTCAAAAATCCATTTGATCCGAATTTTTTGCACACCCTGTATAGAAAGAAACTAGATTTCCTGTTTCAATGTTCTCTTCAACGTTATCTGTATTGCCATGTGCCTTATGATCGAAAAAAAAGGTGCCACAGTTCACAGGTCTTTGTCAGTTATTAAAAATTGACATAAAAATATGAAAAATTTATATTTAATTTTGAAAAAATAAAGCTTCTGGGCACACATCTATTCTCAAAAATACTATTTAATTATTTAGCTTCAGTGAAATTACCATGGACGCCGTTTTTTCGATCATCTTGGCATTTAATGTTTGCCAAAATACTGAATATTTTGTTTCATGTATTTTAATCTAACGTTTCCGAGAAAGTATTTTAAGAAAGCTGGCTCTTTGATACATCTTTTACTGAACTTTTACTATGCTCTTTGGAACAGCATGCGGGCCGTCTGGCTGCCGATACACGAAGAAGATCCTATTTTTTTATTTAGTCCGTTAAATTCTAATATTGAATATAAATCGAATAAGTCTCCATAGCGTTTTATTTTCGTTTATATTCTGATAGTAAAGTATTAAATATTTGTTTTTTTATTATTTTATACTATCAGAATATAAACGAAAAAAAAATAAAAAAAATATACTCCGAGTCGGACTCGAACTCAGACTCCTCGCTTCATAGGCGGGACCTCCGCGCGCTGCGCTATGGAGACTTGTTCGATTTATATTCAATACTAGAATTTAAAGGACTAATAAAAAATATAGGATCTTCTTTCAATGCGCAGTAGTGAACGTTTACCGGCAGCCAGACGGACCGGCCCGCACGGTGTTCCAGAGAGCATAGGAAAAGATATATCAAAGAGCCATATTTCTTAAAATACTTGTTTTCCCGACGTTGCTTGCTCTCGTACTATTTCCTGACGCTTATATTTTTTATGTTTCAATATAACTTAAACCTGAGTATCTTAAAAACATTAGATCTGTATTTGTTGAATTTGAATTTAGTCGCTACTTACAAATTCATGCGTTTTACTGTTTTTTTTATAAATAAAAATAGGAATTTTGACTTATTTAATCATTTTCGTACTGGCGTTCTGCAAATTTTTAAAATTTGGTAAATATAGAGCCAAAAAGTATTTTTTTATTCTATAAAGATATACCTCAAATTTTAGCCTATCGGTTTCAAATTCATTGCAATAAATTAATCTATCTAGTCCCTAAAATAAAATATTTTCTTTTATACTTTTGTGTACCGTTACTGTATTTTTATGAAATAAAACTGCTTTTTTAAGTAATATTCCTTGTTTTATTTGAAATAAATATACAAAACAAATCTAATAAATTTAATCAAACAAAAGCTCCATTAAAAAAGCATAAATTAATTCTTAATTTTATATATTTGCACACGGTAAATTGTATAAAGTCGAGACAAAAGAAAAAACTGACTAATGTAAATCGATAAATTCTCATAGGGGTTTAAACCATTTTGGGAAATTTTCTGAACTCACTATCTTTCTTTCAAAGTTGTTTGGTGTATCGCTACTGGTGCTGGCACCATAATTTACGGGTGGCGTGTTATCAACTACTTCCATATATGAGTCGTCGTCGTCCGCAACATCCTGAGTAGCTCTTGTATTGTCTTGCCTAAAGGGGGTTGAAAAAAACTGGTTGGTTTTTCTATTTTTAAACAGATCATGTGTTTATTGTTTAAAACTGTTTTTATTGTTTTAAACACGAAACTAACTCCAAATTTCGGGATTATGTTTAAAACACTCCAGATTCCAGATCTTGTGAAAAATTAACAAGTTTCGTCTATTTTACCTATTTTATCCGACTGTATTCCGGAAATTTCATATGCATACAACATATTCTGCAGATAAAAAAAGTAAAAAAGTTCGTATAAATGTATGTCCTAAAATGCTTAGTTTCGGAGATACAGGGTGTAGAAGTTTCATTTTTATTTCATGGGCGCCACCTACATATTTTTTAACTGGTTTGAAGAGTATTAACGTTTCGTCTGTACCTGTATAAAACTACTGAGTAAAAAAATATACATTTACGACGTTTTTTACGTAAAAAATGTTCCTTGATAAAAACCGCTACGAGTAATGGTTTTCGAGATATTTGGAATAGAAATTATCAATACCTGTCATCATTGACATAAATTAAACATGTTGACTAAATAGTTATTAGACTCAAATCATAAATTTGAAATGTTTTTGTGCCAAATGTGCAACAGAAACTGTTTTATCATCATTTTTTGCAGAAAAATTTATGATTAATTTAAAAAAATAAAAATTCCCAAATTTATCTACTCAACGTGTTTATTTTTCGTCAATAATGACATGTATTTACTATTTCCATTCTAAATATCTTAAGAACGGTTGCTCGTAGCGATTTTTACAAAGAGATATTTTTTACGTAAAAAATCACAGAGATGTATATTTTTTCGCTCGGTAGTTTTATACAGGTACAGACAAAAAGTTATTACGCGTCCAAACAGTTAAAACACACGTAGGTGGCGCACTCTACTAGTGGGAGTCATATTGACATCAAAATCAAATTTCTCACGTCAAAAAACTCCCAGGCACCAATTTTTATCCAAATATTGACGTTACTTCAGAAATTATTTGGAAAAAATCGAAATAAAAATGAAACTTCTACACCCCCTGTATTTCCGAAACTAAGCATTTTAGGACATACATTTATACGAACTTTTTTACTTATTTTTATCTGCAAAATATACTGCCGAAGTTTCCGGAATACAGTTCGGACCACCCTGTATAGTATTTAAATAAACTTTTAATTAAAAAAAAAAAATAACTCAATCAAAAATGCTGTGGTAGAGTATTATAAAGTATGTTTCAAAAAATTAATTGCTTGCAGTGACTGCTTGAACCGAGAATAATAATTAATCGTGCAAGATGCCACGATCAGCTGACTTATTAGACGTTTCCCGTTTACCTATTTATTTCTTTTCAACATCAAGAACTTTGGTTTAATTACGGTATGTGTGTAATAAGAGGCGTTGAAAGATAAAAACGTTAAAATCTTGCAACACTGCTTTAAACTGAGGCATTTTTAATTAAACACCGTTAAAGTGAAAAAAATAGATGTAGGAAAAACAATAAATACTCCTATTACATATTTTAACGATTTTTATAGTGCAAAACTGCCAGAAACATTCATATTGTCTTATTTTTGGATAAAAATCCTTCAGCCCTTCAATCGACGAAATTTGACTGTAAAATCCTTCATAATGAGGAAAATCCTTCAATTCTGGCAACACTGCGTCCTACTATATACTCCGTCTACTTTATCTCCGTGGTCTGTATTTTAATGCATGCGACAGAGATAAATATAAATGACAGACAGAGAGACAAAATAAAAAGCGGCATACAGTATTGCCGGTTTTTACGTGAGTAGGCAGGCATATTATGTGTGAATAGGTAATAAACTTTCCACCTTTTTCTCTTCAACTTACAAGATCGCCATAGCGATTCACTTCTAGATATACCGGGTGTCTCAGTGGCCCACTCCTATATTTTTTTTATTTTTTCAGATAAAAAAAAACAAGATTTCGTACGTTCTTAGATAATGAAAGAGAGGGGACGCGTAATCGACATCTACGGCCAATATAATATTAGTATATTTTTTATTTAAAATCCGGTGAGTTTTTCGGAAAAACTCTTAAACATGTATATTTTATTTTGTTGTTTTACATATTTTAAGATTTTTAAAAAATTTATACAGTTTCATAAAATATGACCATTGATTCTGCTTAAACTGCTTGACGTTTAGCTGATTTTTGGCAAACGGATTGACTGTGGGGTGTAGAGGTTCGATAAGGGAGGGTTTCTCGAATCTCAAATTCCAAGAGGGTGAAAACGCCTCTCAAATATTACAATATTTGTTATTTAAAAAACGATTAGTCTTCCGGGAAAACGCTTGGACTGTTTTTTTACCTAGATAATTTGAAATTTTTTAAAAAATCATATATGCTGTTCCAAAAAGTTGGGTAATTGATTAACCACGATTCTGCTTAAACTGCTTGATGTAAAAAGATTATTTTTGGCAAACGGATTTTTCGAAAGTCAAATTCCAACGAGATGAAACTACCCCTCAAATATTACCAAGTTATATAATAATATCGCCATATTGTTTTTTCTCATGCTGACATAAATGTGGAAAATTTTATCCAGTTTTTATGTTAATGGAAATTCTTGCTTTGCTTTATCATCACCATTAATGATTAATTCGACGCGAACAAAGTCGCGGGTACATGCTAGTTAAATATAAAATTTACCTTATTCTAGCGGCAGCCAAACTAGCTACACTATTAGTCGTAACCATAGTTTGAAACTGTCTTTTCAAATAGCCATCTTTCCTTTCCTCTTTAATGCCAAAATATAATAGAGCTCCAGGAACACATCCCACCTCTATCAACCTACTTTCCTTCTTCAAAATACATATTGGTGGTGTAGAATCTATAAATTTCAAAATTAAATAACATATTTTATACAGGGTGTACCAAAAAATCGCAACAAATGCGAGATTTCTTAATATTGAGTTATTGTTGCAAACTTTTTGTTTTCGCACAACCTGTATAAAACGCTAGAAACTCCAACTCACAAATATAAAAATCCAAACTTGCATCTTCTAAATAGTCCCTAATAAAGTCTAAAACGTCCTGTACCGTTTCCGTTGGTTTAAAAGTACCCTGTATAACCGTTCTATCAGGAAACTGCACCCTTATAATTGTTTTCTTGTATCTACAAACAACATTCTTCACTAATTATTACATTTTAATAGTTTGTTACTGACTTGTTAAGTTGGCGCAATTGTTTTTTAGATTCCTCAAAGCTTCTCAATTGAGATGTCTTCAACATTTGATTTTCCATCTCAAATCTTTTTCTTTTGACATCTCTAAGAATCTTTTTAGCATCATCTATGGTAAGTTCGAAAAAATCATCTGGCAAGTCTTCACTTGGGACTGAATTTGCTGATTCTAAAGAAAATATCATTCCATTTCTTTTTCCACACTGAAAATAGGGGGAATTATTTAATGAAATAAAAATTTTAACTTTAATTATCCCTGACATACAAACAGAAATTCCTCCTCTATGCTTTTTTGAGGGATACACTGTGGAGTTACCGTATTAGCATCATCTACGTCCATGGATTGCGCTTCTTCCTTTTTTGGCTGTTTGTTTATAAATTTTTTCTTTTCTTTTTGAATTTCCTTGTTTGAACTAGTTTCTGGAGATTTTCTTTTTTCTTTAGCCAGCTTTAATATGTCTACTGTAGTGTTTTTGATATTTTTTTCAGGTTTAATACTGGTACCAGTATCTTCTCTATTTTCTGAATGAATTTATATATAAAAATATTTTAAGAGGACTATACAGGGTGAGTCGTAAATAAGTTCAAATATTTTTACGGGTAGTATATTTCGATCCCAGAAACACGATTATGAGTTTTTTTTCGCGAAATAATAATTTTGAAAATTTGGAATTTTTGGAAAAAAAATTTGGAATTGTTTTTAGTTAAAAAACTTATTTTCTTGATAATATGACAACATAGGTAGTAGATTAAATTTACGAGAAAGAAAACCCAGAAAAGATCCAGCGGTTCTCAAAATTTAAGCAAAAAATATTTTTTTTTGGAAATTTTCAAAGAAAATAAATAACCCGGTTATTTTGGACTTATTTGAGAAATGGTAAAGAGAAAATATGTTTCTTTTATCGAGATCTACCAGCCCTGAAAATATTTGCACTTATTTAAGACTCACCCTGTATAAGGCGATCCAGTGTGTCAAAAAAGCCTTCATAACAGGTTTCATATATAAAATTTTTAAACTTTTTTGCAATATGTGTCCAATAATAGATAACGTATGTTTTAACATTATTAATTATTATTAATATTAAGTTTTCTTTAAAATTAGTCCTACTAAAATATAATTTATATTTGCTTGATATACAGGGTGCTTCAAAAAATATGTGCTATCTCTAGTGGGGAGATTCTTCACGTTAAAATAAGATTTATTTCTTATATCAACATAGGTCAGATTCTGCTTTGTTTTGTAGTTAGAGGGGCCAATGTCTCTTTTTTTTATTTATTAATATTTTCTTAAAAGTGCTTTTAGCAATTCGAACAAAATTTTGAGAGAAAAAGTTACTATACAGGGTGGCGCACCTCATTCGCCTCGGTTGATTATACGAAAACGGAAAGATGGAGAAACAAAACATTTTATGGGTATATGTGGGGAGGCAATGTGCACAATTTAAAATTATTTTGAAATATACAGGGTGTTTCAGAACTAAGATCCATACCAAAGTTATATTTTTTCTTATGGAAGACCCGGTATTTTATTTCATTTTTGGATTCTTGGGCCCAAAAAAAGACATTTATTATAAGGGTTAAATATGTTTAAAATCATTGGTTTTTGAGATATTTAAAGATATTTAAATATGCATGCTACAAGAGAATTGATTATCAATACCCTGTACATTACTTTTCAGAATTAATTCTTGTGCTGAGTTTAAAAGCAAAGAAATAAACTTTACTGAAAAATGTTATTGCTGCCTTAAATTTATACAGGGGTACCAAAAAATAGTTATTTCTTATAAGGATTTATTTTACATAAAAACTTTGTTATTTCAAATGCAACACCCTGTATTTTTTTAAATAAATCGAAGCAGATTAAAATGCTCTTTCAAACTATATTAGGGTTTTCTATACCTATCTATCTCAGATTTTGAATAAAAAGCGATTTTTAAACAAAATGGCAATCAAGATGGCTGATATCGCCATGGCAATTTTCTAGTGACAGTTAGTAACTATTTTCAAAATCGACATTAGTTTATAGACTTTATTTAAATCTATACCAGTTTACTTTTATTTAATTGACCTTCAATAGTTTAATAAATAATATTTATTAATATGTATTTATTATTCTATCAAGAAAAACGAAGTAGTTCTTTGTTTTATTTTACGATAACTTGTAGATATATGAATTTTTTATAAAAGAGCCAATTACGGCAAATTCAATTTCTTCACTTCCAACGACAGGCCTAATAGGTTTTTTATAAACTACACTATCAATTCTGCGAAATAGGAAATAGGACTAATATATAACTAATAATAATTTTTCAAAGGAACGCTTATCAGGAAGATTCCTATTTATTATTATATTTGGATATATTTGAGCATTAGCTCCAACCAAGAAATAATATTCCTCACAAAACAAAATTACTAGTAACATATCCATTCGTTCCACCAGGAGATATAGCTTTATTTTTCTTCATAAAATAAAGAATACTTATTTATTAAACTATTGTGGGTAAATTTTAGTAAACTATTTAAATAATAATGTCCATACACTAATGTCGATTTTGAAAATAGTTACTAACTGTGCCACTAGAAAATTGCCATGGCGATATCAGACATCTTGATTGCCATTTTATTTAAAAATCGCTTTTTATTCAAAATCTGAGATAGATAGGTATAGGAAACCCTAATATAGTTTGAAAGAGCATTTGAATCTGCTTTGATTTATTTAAAAAAATACGGGGTGTTGCATTTGAGATAACAAGTTTTTATGTAAAATAGATCCGTAAAATAGATCACTACTTTTTGGTACCCCTGTATAAATTTAAGGAAATCAATAACATTTTTCAGTAAAGTTTATTTCTTTACCTTTAAACTCAGCACAAGAATTAATTCTGGAAAGTAATGTACAGGGTGTTGATAATCAATTCTCTTGTAGCATGTATATTTAAATATCTTCAAATATCTCAAAAACCAATGATTTTAAACATATAATAAATACCTTTTTTTGGGCCCAAGAATCCAAAAATGAAATAAAATACCGGGTGTTCTAATAGAAAAAAAAATAACTTTGGTATGAATCTTAGTTCTGAGACACACTGTGTATTTCAAAATAATTTTAAATTGTGCACATTGCCTCCCAACATATACCCATAAAATATTTTGTTTCTACATCTTTCCGTTTTCGTATAATCAACCGAGGCGAATGAGGTGCGCCACCCTGTATAAGTGGGACATTTTAATGCTAAAAAAGTGTCAATAGAGAACAACGGTATACGGTCGAGTCGGCCGCTGCTGGCACGTATACGTAGACGTAAAGAATCTTTGACGTGTATAAAAAATAAAAAATATAAGAAATGCGCATAAGTACGTAAACGTTTACGTGTTTGTAGGCCGACTCAAACGTATGCCGTTGTTCTCTAATATCACCAGGAACTTGCATATGGGATATCACTGGAATATTTTTCTAAAAAAAACTGTGAGCCACTGACTTCTTTCTCTCTTGCTAGCACAGTTGTGTAGTTTTTAATACCGTTTTTTAGTACCATTTAATTCCAATTAAAAGTTGTCTCTATTTTGTCGATTTATATTATTGTTATTATACAATAATAATTTTAATAATAAAATTTAATAATAAAATAAATTAAATAACTAATAATTTATTAATTTTATTAACTGTGATTAATAAAATGGCATTTATCTCATTAAGAAGATCGAAAACGATAAAATATCAAGATACAACTTTTAATCGGCATTAAACGGCCTACACGATTTTGCTAACAAAAGAAAAGAAGACAGTGGCGCACATGTTTTTTTACAAAAATATTCCAGTGATAAGCCATATGCACGTCCCTGGTGAATCTGTCAACACTTTTTTAATACTAAAATTTCTAATAGCAAGTTTTATCTAATAAGCGTTTGACAATAAAAGCGAACTACAAGAATAGTTGACATCTGAACTAATTTCACAAAGAATTTTTTTTAGCCAATTAATAAATATATTATATTGTGCTGGCGCATCTAAAAATAATAATTATAAAACAGAAAGTTGGTGAATAATCATCAATTTTGGAGATTAAAATAATTTATTAAAGCAGAGTTGGATATAAAAATGCCATCTAAAACAATTATTCAATGTCATTGGATAAAAACTATGTTCATTTATATTACAAGGTTTAGTACCATTTTAATTATTTGAAAAAATGCAACTTCTTATAATAATTAATTCTGAAAAGAATATTTAAAATATTTTCAATTAAAAATTATTTTTATACAAGTTAGTCTCGAATTTAGTACTTAATATAGCATTATAAAACACTTCCATTGAAAAAATATGAACAATAGAGATTTTTTCACTTAAAAACCACTTGATAATATGAGATTTTATGGCAAATACACAGTGACAAAACTTGACGCAGACAAAACCACAACATTACATTTAAAATATACAAATTTAAAACAAAGATATATTTGAACCACCCTGTACATCTATAAAATTCTTTTTGTAATGCCTGCATATCTATTATTTTACAGAGAAGTTTGCAGTGAATAGTTTGTATGTGAAATACAAAAGCTGATATGGAGTTTTTTGGATTACTTAAGAAAGAAAGCTTACCATTATTAGATCCTAATCTACTACCAACTCCATAATCATGTGATTTATCTTGAGCAGTTTCAGTTTTTTCAGGCACCGTTCCGTTTTTTGCTATATTCTCATTCTCCAACGGTTGAAACTTTCTTATATATGGTTTTTCTTCAACCGGTTTACTTGGTAGTGGTGCACTTACATTAGCTTGCTGATGAAGAGCATCTGGGTCTCTATTTAACACTCGTATCATAGCTCTTCCCCCTTCAAAATAAATTAGTGTCACTTGTTTAGGAGCTTTGTGATAAGTGTTATTCAACCTGTTAGTCCTAGACTTCTTAAAGTACAATTTTCCAATTCTTTGCCGTATATTTCTCTTCTTGTGTATATCACCACAGGATTTTTATCAGGAGTAGAATTCTCTGGACAAACTTGGTTTAAAATATTAAGCAGAGTATCATTCGGTCTAAACGTTTCCGTAATTCTCGAGCCGTTCTCTAAATTTACGGCTAAAGTTATATCACTTTCAATCCGGTTTTTTAGAGCCGTAGCAAGTTCTAATTGCGCGTTATTAGGTAAACCGGAAAAACGAAATGTAGCTGTTGTATCCAGGACTTTATTATGGTGTTTTATGTCGTATTCGATGGGATTAAACCCTTGCTTCTTGCAAACTTCCTCGATAATCTAAAATAGCGCCGTTAATAAAATGTTTTCAAATGATCAGGGAATCAACTTTACTTGCAAAATAGTCGTGTTTGGGGTACATTTCACAGTCTGCCTACGACCATTAGGCGTTAAAACTACTACACTAGATCCAGACATTTCTTCTCAATATATTTCGGGAATAGTAAGCGATATTTATTAAATATTTTTATCTCTCTTGTTTACAAAATTTGAGTATGTCACTGTGAAATTTGGGTTTTCTAACCTAACTTATTTTGACGTCTACCAAAAGTTTCCGAATAGAGAGTTCTCGTTCACTGTCCCGTAAGACATCGATAACGTTATTTAATAATAGACAACAGACAACAAGAATTATTTTAAAAATCTTTATTACTTTTGTCAAATTATAATATAGAGCTTAAATCTAAGAATTAAGTTATTTTTTAGTGCTCGACGTTGTCCGTATTTTCGATGATTAGATCGTTTTCGTGCGGCCATTTTTCGTTGAATTGTTGATCGCATTTTTCCGTATGTTGGGGGAAAAATATTCGTTCTTGATCGTAGGCAGCCGTTTCGAAACCTTTCAAAGTTTTTTTCAGGAGGATTGCGTCCGCGGCAGCTTCCCAAAACGTCGGCGGTGGCCTAGAAAAGAGAACAAAAGCAAAACAAGAATATTACTGCTTGTACTGTCTTTCTGTATAAATTATAGACAAAAACAGACTAATATTTACAATATTGTTGAATTTTTTAATATTTACAAGTATTTTTTTAAAAAGAGCATTATTTAAATTCCACTCATTTTTACTCTGAAATAAATATACAAGGGTATTATATTGGCTACAGGACGCTGATAAAAACGTGTGTCTAGATATTAAATGGTCTAAGGTCTACGGACTCTACGCGGCTAGACGCTCTGATTTTAAACAAGTAGGCCTAGGTTTTACATTTTTTTCTTTAGAATTCCGAGTTTAAAATTCGTGATGTGTTTTTAGAGTTTTAATATTAAAAAATGGTTTATTTTGTGGAGTATCGCAGATTGAAAGTGCCCCGAGCAACCCAACAGCAAATGTAAGTAATTTCTTATTTATATGCATGACAAATTTTAAGCGAATTTGCAAAGCGTGTGTTAATTTTGTATTAACCTGACGTGGTATAATTTTTATTTGTTTCTGTAAGTTATTTTAGTGAAGGGGGAAGAAACCTCTAGGGTTTTCAAAATTATTGTGGAAATAAAAGATATAAAAAACTTTCAAGGGAGCATTTCTTTCCTTAGAGAGCATTTTCTCCATGCAAGAATGTTTAAACGGCTAGAAAGTAGTTATAGTGTTTAATTTTCTTAAGTGGATAAAATGCAACTAAAACTCGAAGATAATACACACGTTTTATCCACAAAAACATGTATATTTATTATTTATAAAAAATTGATAGGAAAAATTAGCAGTATTATTTCTAAAAATTGAATTGAAGATAGCTTTTGTTGTCATGGCAACTTTGTTGTTTAGTATTGATAGCTTTTTCAATAGCTTGATGAGACAAACATTTTATGAAAGTCAGCTTGGAAAAAATATTTTTTTTCCTCAAAAAGTATGCGCAGTGGCGTTTTTTTACAAGAGACAAAAATGTAGTAAATACTAGACGGACTTTTACGAAAAATACATTTTACGAAAAAAAAATCGATCATCGATTGAGTTGGAAAATATTTTTACTAAAATTTATGCAAGGGTGGGGGTAGTTTTAACCCTTCCCGTACTTTTTTTTTTGATTGTTGTGAAAGTCAAATGTTAAAGCACTTAGCAAAACATAATCTCAATCCAAAATCCCATTCAAATTGGAATAACGGTTCTTAAAATATCAGAAAAAATGTATTTATTTTTTAAAAGTTTGATGCCCTCTAGCGAACAAACGAAGCACTTTTGTATAGAGGTAAATTGTGTCCAATGTGGACTTATTTTGATTCCAAAAATACGCAGTACTTCTATGTCCACGGAATATTGGGACACTCTGTATATGATGTCATTCTACAGGGTGGTCCGAACTGTATTCCGGAAACTTCGGCAGCATATTATGCAGATAGAAATAATTAAAAAAGTTCGTATAAATGTATGTCCTAAAATGCTTAGTTTTGGAGATACAGGGTGTAGAAGTTTCATGTTTATTTCGATTTTTTTAAAATAAAATCTGAAGTAAAGTCAATATTTGGATGAAAATTGGTGTCTGGGAGTTTTTTGACATGAGAAATTTGATTTTGATGTCAATATGACTCCTACTTGTAGAGGGCACCACCTACATATTTTTTTACTGGTGTGAAGAATAACTTTTCGTCCGTAGGGTAGGTGGGGGTAAAGCCCTGCACGGGGCAAAGCCACGCACCGCGTTTTGAAATAGCGCGGGAATCATTTCGGGTTCGCCCGTCAGGCGGCGAGTTGGTTTTAATTAGAGGTGGGCCAGTCTGCGATTTTTGTGGAGCTGCTACGCTCTGCGACTGCTCCAATAAAAGCACTGCGACAAGTAGCAGCGATTTTTCGGAGCAATTAACCTATAAATTAAAAATGTAGTTTTATAGGTTAATTGCTCCGAAAAATCGCACTCGGTGTTCGGCTGTTCGGCACCGTTCGTTGCATTTACTAAAAAGTACAGGACTATAGGTGTGATTATGATAGGCAACATCATCGTCTAGTTTTTATTTATTTATATCGTATGATCGAAAAAACGGCGTCAGCGATAGCTATGAAATGAAGATTGCTGGCATTTTATATGTAAAATTTATGGGGAATGTTATCGATTGTCATTTCCAAGCCAACTGGACGCCGTTTTTTATTTCGATCAGTAGTGGCGATTTTAACGTCTGTGCAATCGGGGTAAGTCACCGACGGGCCCCAAGCCTCCCGGGCCCTTGCGAACAAGATTCGAACTTTTCCGAACTACGGGCCCCTAGAGCTCTTAAAATCGCGGCTGTACGGTACTATACTGATGTCTTAGTTTGATAGATGTTGCTATATTTTTTTAGTCTATTCAGAAGAATTTGAGTGTTTCTAAGTACCAAGCACTTTGCTATAAATATCTTAAAGAGTCTGTTCATTTTCACAGAGTGGTGGCCCATGGTAAAAACTTAATGTTATATTCAATTCAAAGTCGAAACTGTCAAAAAAATCTTTATTAGTGACCGGTTTCGGCTATTTAGCCATCATCAGACCTTAAAAATAGATATAAATAATAAAACTTATATGAATGTATAAGATCAAATAAAAGATTTAGGATATACAACAAAACACAGATACAAAATTAACTAACAAATAAACATACTAACAAGTTAAAAATTACCTTTGTCAAAAACATCTGTTTGTGATTAATATATAATACATAAATATCTTATTTAGATTCATGAAAGAAAAAGCGAACGCTGCTACGTTTCCCGTTCCCAAACTCCCAACAGCTCCAGTACACAGAATATACTCAATATACTATGCTCCAGTCGACTGCGACCTGCGACGACTGTGACTGGAACAGTCTGACCGGGCGACGGGGCTAGGAGCATTTTCAGAATTTACACTATTGCCTGCTATTGCTCCTATTGCTACTCACGAGCGCAGATGTCCTAAACTTGTAAACTGCTCCGAAATGTCACTGCGATTTTCTTGGAACTGGAGCAGTCACATACTGCGACGTTAGTGGAGCTGTGACAAAGTAGCGGACTGCGATTTCACAACCCACCTCTAGTTTTAATAACGTTCAGTGCGACAGAGAATTTGATGGTAGCCGGCAGCTTGTGTACCGAGAAAATGAGGTTAGTTCATCTTTTGTAATTTTAATATAATAACTACGTCACTTTGTTCAAATATAGTGTGCATGTATTTAGAATATCTGGAAAAGGCGACTTCTCGGTTGATAGCATGTCACCTAAGCTTTATTTTCGCGTGGTAATGATTTCTTGAACGTGATTTTAAAAATGTTATATGAAAGATTTTTTCGAGAATACAAAATGGTGCAAAACGCCGCAGCCTTTTAGGGGCAAATCCCTGCAGTGCGGGTTTTGCCCCTGTTTGTTAAAACATGCATTATGCAGCTTTTAAATTATATTCACGGGTATTTACTTTTTAGGAACTACAAAAGAAAAACTCAGTACATGCCTATGACCGAAGATCAACTCGCTGCGGCACGTACACTGATCGCGAGAGGTGTTTCTATCAGTCAGGCGGCCAAAGAAATCGGGTTTCATGAATCGACACTAAGGGATCGACTTCAGAAAGGGGGAGGAACTAAGCTTGGGAGATTTCGAGCCACATTTTCAGCAGAACAGGAAGCTCAGCTGTTAAACCACTGTATCGACCTGGATAAGCGATTTTTCGGCCTTACTTTAAAATCTTTGCGATTCCTTCTATTTAAATATGCCGAGGAGAATAACATTCCCCATCAGTTCTCGGTTGAAGCGCAACTTGCAGGGAGGGATTTTACACGAACCTTTATGAAAAGAAACAAGTTATCTTTGCGTGTTCCCCGGAAGACGAGTGTTGCCCGAACAATGGGGTTCAACAGGATTCAGCTCACTCAATATTTTAACAACTTAGAGGCCATTATGAAGAAGTACAATTTTTCTCCCAACCAAATTTTCAATATGGATGAAACGGGGGTACAAACGGTCCCAAATATACTTCCAAAACACGTAGCCCCCACTGGAAAGAAGGAAGTCGCTAAGGCTGTAGCAGCGGAGCAAGGTCAAACAGTATCCGCCGTGTGTGCAGTGAGTCCTATAGGCTATTTTGTGCCCCCTTTTTTTTATATACGCAAGAAAAAGAGAAAATCGGCTTCTTATTAAAGGTGGTCCATTAGGATGCGAGATGGCTGTAACCGATAAAGGGTACATGAACACTCCCACTTTCATCAAATGGCTGAATCATTTCAAAAAGTATGCCAAACCAAGTGACAGCAACCCCATTTTACTAATACTTGACAATCATGTGTCACACACAAGCCTGGAAGCAGTTTCTTTCGCAAAATCAAACAATATTCACCTCCTTACTTTGCCACCTCACAGCAGCCACAAAACCCAACCTCTTGACCGCTGTATATTTCGTCCACTGAAGGCTTATTACGATGCTGCCGTAGATTCATGGGACGTTTCTCATCCAGGAGAAACCTTCAGCGTTTACAACGTTGCTGAATCATTCAAGATAGCTTTTGAAAAAGCAAGCTCGGTTGAAAACGCAGCTCAAGCTTTCAAAACTACTGGTATTTTTCCATTTAATACCAATATATTTTCGGATGCTGATTTTTTGCCATCAGAAGTGACAGACCAGTCTCCAGGAGAAGATCTGGATGAGGATGATCGAATGGTATTATTTAATGAAGAGAATGATGTACAAAAAGATGTGACTACAACTTCAGATCTTGCTGTTGGAACAGAGCAGCCTATGCAACAAGGCAACAATCATCCTGACATTGCAACACCTACGGTTGATACCGACCATGTTCAGACTCCGTCAACAGCTCCTGCCGATATAATCCCTTTACCTAAAATAAAAATTAAAAGGAAACGTAAAGGAAAAGGGTAGAAGTCCGAGTTGCTTACGTCAACACCGAATAAGGAACGTTTGGAAAACGAAGCAGCTGAAAAAGAAAAGCAAGCTACTGAAAAGGAGCAACGTTCAATAGAAAAGCAAAAACGCGCTAAAGAAAACGCAACAAGGCAGCTCTTCTCGCCCACCAACACAAAGAGAAGAAAGACAAATTCTAACGAAGATTCTTCTGACACGGACGCAGATTACTCGATTCATGACAGCAGCTCTGATGGTGATTTTATAGGTGATGATGATGGAAACGATCAAGTTGAAAGTTTTGAGCACTCACAGGATGAATCTGCATTGATGTTGCCAAATGACTATGCTGTAATTAAAGTGGATGGCAAAACAAAAAATTCTTTCAGACACTTTGTTGCCAAGATCGTTTCTATTTATCAAGATGGTTATGACGTAGTATTTTACAAGCGATTACCAAATACTTACAAATTTTCGGAAACAAATGAAGAGTCCTTCGTAGAAGTCAAGGATGTTGTTTTAAGATTGTCAAAACCTATTCTTAATCTCTCTGCTAGGTTTCACAATGTGCTTACTTTCAAAGAAGATTTAAGAAGTTTCCGTATGTTTTAATCAACTTGTTTACTTGTTCTTCATTGATCTTATTCTTTTAATAAAAAAAAGTTTTTTTTATGAAACTGTTTTATTATTCACCCACTTTATTCATCAATGGGGTAAACTCCCGCGCGCGGGGAATTGCCCAATTCGGTGGGGCAAAACCCTGCATTTTTGTTTTTTTATATAAACCTAAATTCTCCATAACTGACAGACCGACGCCAGAATTTTCATTACTAGTCCAAAGATAAAATATGTGCGTAAGACTTCATGTAAAAACGACAAAAAAAACTTTTCCCAGTTCCAAAAATTATGCAAAAGATAAATATTGCGGGGCTTTACCCCCACCTACCCTACCTGTATAAAACTACTGAGCAAAAAATATTCATTTACAACCTTTCTTAGGTACGTAAAAAATCTCTTGGTAAGAATAGCTACGAGTAATGGTTTTCGAGATATTTGGAATCGAAATTATCAAATTACATCATTGTCATAAATTAAGAATGTTGACTAAATAGTTATCAGGCTGAAATCATAAATTTGAAATTATTTTCTGTCAAAAGTTTAACAGTACTTAACTGTTGTTATTTTATTATTATTTTTCTTTGTTTTTATTTGAATGGAACGCCCTGTATATTATTTTTTTATTAGATGAAGAATTAAAAAATGAACATTTTTTGTATTTGAGGTGTTTCAACATTTTTAATGGTTTCGCAGATACACGCAGTATTATCTCTATGGCTCTCTCAACGGTAAAATATGAGAGAAAAGTTATTGGGTGGCTTTGATAAAAATTCACTGTAGAAAATGCCATATGAAATATAAAACCGTAAATATCTGCAAAACTAAATACCTAATATAGTTTTGATTTCAGGAGAGTTCTTGTATTTTTAATGTTTTCTTAAGGAAGGCTGAAAAATATATATTTTTTATTTATTTATTATCTCTGAAACTATCAAAATATATTTACCCATATCTTAGGATGATGTAAAGTGGTCTGAAAGGAAGCCAAAAATGCAATAATATACAGGGTGTTCCATTTAAAAAAATCATCTCGATCCACTCACACTTTTTTGAGTCATCCTATAGAGGAAAATATTTTCCTGAAATACATCCTAGAACATACTTTAGGTCTGCACTTAACAACATTCCCAAGTTTTTTATTCTAGGAGCTACAGATGCCTGACGCCCTATTGCCGGACCCTGTATGTTTTACTCTTTATAAAAAGCACTTCAACGTGCAAAATCGTTAATTTTTAACACAATCACAATAATTCTTACTATTACATTATCGCCGAATCGCGCCAAGAGTAATCGTTCACCGCTAAAAATACGGGCGAAAAATAAAAAAGAAAAGGAATTTTGTTGGATTTCCGATGCATGCGGTCGGTTGTCGGAAAAAGGGTGAAGGCCGCCCGAGGAAAATAGTAGAAAATGTAAAGTTTGCGCGAAGGTTTTTCTTCTTATCGCCATTTCGGATCTAGCATAAAGAATGAGTCTCGGCTCTAATGTAAAGAAGGCGGAATACAATTCCAGAAGCCCGAAAAATAGTTTTTTTAGTGTGATTGCGACCTTTGTATAATTAACTTTTTTTTCGGATAATTCGAAGGAATTATAAAAGGAAAAATAATCTGTCAAAAAACTGTCATAAAAAAAACGACGTCAAAGATGGCATGGGAATGGCAATCGATAATAATTTTGGCTAGGTCTAGCTCTAGCCGTCATTTACTTGGCCCGTACTCTTCTTTCTTTTTAATGGCGCTTACTGACTGCCAGTTGGCCTTAAGAGTCCATTACGCTGTACTGTTCGGGTCGATCTCAGGGGTCGGGTAAAGCGGGTGTGTGGCCGAAGGAAATATATATTATATTTCAGAAATTTGCCTAAAGGCTTAGCCCGATCCTGTCGTGTTAAGCCACATCCAAAATTCCAAACACACGAGCTTTGATTAAGGCTTGATTAAGGTTTGCAGAGCTTTAGCATTTGCCATAAAATAGCGAGCAATCTGGTGTTTAACCATAGTAAATTTTTGTTATTTTTAATATACATTTCAATTGAAGTGATGATCAAAAAGTACTCTCCCTCAATACAAAAAGAAATGCAACGAAGTTACAATTAAGGAATAAATAATAAATCAAATTCAATACAAATTTCACTGGTTTGAAATGACGCGTAGAAAATTGTGACGTCACCTATCAGCATTTGACTGAATAGTTGACAGAGGGCGGGAGTCTCTGAAGAATAATATTATGGCGTGTCTAGTTCTCTGCTACCGTATTTACACCATATATCTTAAAATCACGTTAGATTTTTCTATTTTTATTAAGATCATTAAAAAATACGTTTTTATATGGGATTATTCTTTATTACCCCAATATTAAATTTACTTTTATATTGTTTTATATTTATCTATATTTATTTTACTACTAGAAATTAAAACTTAAATTTTTATAATTAATAAGTTACTGTCATTTTTATCGAAGCACTAAACACTATCAAAGTTGTTCGGATGTTCGAGGAGTTCGAGGGTTCGAGGTTAGATTTGTATTTTGTCGATTTTGTGTTTGGCGTTAAATACTTTGAGTTTTCAATTTTGTTTTATTGTACCCTCTTTATTATTTTTGTAATGAAGGGTGTTAAAGTTTGTTTTGTGAAGGGCCGTCTAAATAACTCTGAGGGCTCTCCAGAAAAAGTTTTTATTAATATAATGACACATGCTAAACCGTTTCGAAGGCGGCCATCAGCCACTAACGTCTCTGGAGGCAAACCGTGACACTTTAAGTGACGTCAGAGATTGCAAAAGTGTAAATTTGAAATTATTAATATTGATTAATTTTTTAAAAAAAAATGGGATGTAGAATGTAGAATGTTTAGGAGGGGAGTTAGTCACCGCGACCTTAAAGATCTATTGTGTGTTCCCCTTTCTTGAGTTATAACGAGTTATAACTGATCATACAGTCTCAAGGCTTTAACAAAAGCCAGTATCTGAGACGGCTCCACAGAGGCCAGCCCTCCATCCTTGACATCAGCCGTACCAAAGTTCATGGCACGAATGGTCGTCGTCTCGGCGCACTCAGTGATGATGTGTTCAGGTGTTTCCCCATATTCCCCACAGAATCTGCATTCGCCGTTGTTTCTCAGCTTCAGCCTACTGAGGTGTTCGTTGAGGAAACAGTGTCCTGTTAGAAACCCCGTGACAATCCGAAGATTGTTTTTACTTAAATCAAGGAAAACCTTTGATTTTTCTCGGTCATAGGTTCTGAGGAATTTTTTCGAGTGTCTTAGACCGTTGGAGGACACCCATTCCAAGTTACGGTTGGAGTCTTCCAGATTCTTCAGTTCCGCTTGCAGTTGGTTTCCGCTTGGAAAACAGAACGGTTCTGGTCCAGTTAGTGGAGTGTTCGCTCCTTTCCTAGCTAGATCATTTGCTTTTTCATTGCCTTCTATCCCTTGGTGAGCGGGCACCCAGAGTAGGAGGACTTTATTTTCTTTGCCCAACTTGTTGAGCTTCTCTAGGCATTCTTTGACAAACCTCGAATTGATGGTTTCTGACTTGATCGCGTTTAGTGCTGCATGACTATCGGATAGGATGGCAATTTCCTGTTTTCGATAGTTCCTTATCTAAGATAAATTGTACACATCTTTCGATAGCGTAAATTTCTGCCTGAAGGATACTGGGGTAGGTGCCCATTGGTTCGGAGTATTTGGTTTTCGACCCAAATACTCCTATCCCTGTCCTTGCTTTGGTTTTGGAAGCATCAGTATACCACGTTATGGTATGGTCTTTTATATGCTGAGTAAGCGTTTCTTCCTTCCAATCCTTTTTATTACTCAATACTACAGTGAGGTGTTTCTCAAAGTTGTAAATTCTTGGTATGTCATCCACTGGGAGTTGGAGAAGTGGAATTTTCTTTTTGAGGGTGTTCCAAGCCCCTGACCTAAAAATTCTCCCAGTACTGTTTCCGTCAATGACCATTCTAATCATTGTCGCATTGGCATAACTACCGATGACAATATGCAGTGGTGTTAGGTCTAAAATGACCTTCATTGCTGCTGTTGGACATGTTCTCATGGCACCTGTGATACAGATACATGCCAGTCTCTGTACTTTGCACAGGTTTTGCCTTGCTGTACGTTGCTCTAGTTTTGTATACCAAGCAACTGCTCCATATGTAATCATGGGTCTTACTATCATGGTATACATCCAGCGCAAAATCTTAGGGGCGCAGCCCCATCTATTTCCCGCCAGTCTTCTGCATATCATGAGAGCCTTTGTGGCTTTGCTGGTAATGTTCTTAATATGCCTGGACCAGAGAAGTTTACTATCCAGGGTTATTCCTAGATATTTCACTTCCTGTGATGGCAGTATTTCCTTTCCATCTAGATGGATTCTTTTCAAGTTTTTCAGACTTCGCTGTCTGGTGAATGGCACTACCGCGGTTTTATCTGAGTAATATCACACAGGGTGCCTTCATGTTTCCCCCGTGCAGTCATGACTATGTTATCTGCACACCCTATGCAGTGTATTCCCGCTAGAGTTAATTCTTCCCGAGATTCTTCCAGTAGTTCATCCACTACCAAGCTCCACAGTAGGGGGGAGGTCACTCCACCTTGTGGAGTTCCTTGCGTTGTTTTAACAACTACAGTTTTGGTACCTATCTCAGCTTCTGCTGTTCGTGTTGAGAGCATTTCCCAAAACTAGCGAATTATCGTATTATTCACCTCTTGTTTCAAGAGATCGCTTGACTACCTTGTGAAGTATATTGTCAAACGCCCCTGCGATGTCCAAGAAGGCACAAAGTGCTCTTTCTTTGCTATCCAGGCTTGCCTGTATTAGCTCAGTTAACTGGTACAGAGCAGTTTCTGTGGATCTGCCCGGTCTATATGCATGCTGACTATCGTGCAGTGGTTTAACCATTAGATGATTTACTCTAATATGGTTGTCCACTACTTTCTCCATCGTTTTCATCGACGTCAGAGATTGCAAAAGTGTAAATTTGAAATTATTAATATTGATTAATTTTTTAAAAAAAATGGGATGAAATTGAAGTA